GGCACCACTGGATTCAGTGGTTCCGAAAGGATTACTCATGAGTCCCTTGCATGATGCGTTGAACGCAGCTGCGGACAAGTACAGCTCTACTTATGCCCTCCTCGTCGTTTGCCAGTCCATCCTTCTCATCTCAAGTCTCTCTTCCATTACTAAGTAGTGGTAGGTCCGTTTTTGAATTGTCTCATTACTTGCTTTAGGAAGATTCCTGATTGTTCCGAAACCATACGGTGTATCCTGCGTGGGCGAACCTCAAAAAGATGGAGGTGTGTTTGAAGACAGCGTCCACAACAAGAAAGATCAGGATGAGATGCCTGTGGTAGGTTTTCCCCGATTCCTTCATGAGTACTCGCTTGGAATTCTGACATAAAACTTTTCCCCATATTCCTTTTTTTGCAAAAACAGTGGAAATAGAATAAAATGTCCGTTGACGTCATGTGCTTAGAGAGGGACCACTTTCCAGCAAGGCTAGTCAGCCGTGTTCTCATACGAAAAGCTAATGCATGCTGTGTAGGGAAGAGGATAAAATGTTCTAACTATGCCGTTTGGAACATGTCACGCTCTCGGTGAGGCTGCGTTCATACTTCGCGACATCGTCCACCAGCGTCAATTCGAGCGTATGCCAGCATCAGCTACTAGGAAAGTATGGATAGCGATCTAGCGTCCGCCAGCGTCTACCAGCGAGCAGCAGCTTTTCACGGGTCCTTTTGAACTCGAGCAAAGGTGCCCACGAAAACGCTGCTGTACGCTGATGGACGCTGGCGTTCGCTAGATCAATAGTTATACTTCCCTAGTCCGTCGAGACGCGACTTAGCTAGCTGGAATGTGGCTCCCTCCAAGGCACATGACGCTTTATTCTATTCTTACACCCATGCCTTTATCTTATTGGTGTGCATCTAGAAGAAACTAGTGGACCAAAGTGTTACCATTGCGGAATGCATACCAGGACTGGCTCGAATGTTCAACGAACCCAAGTTAATGTTCTGCACTGGACTAAAAAGGTATTTCTTCAGCAGACTTCCTACCTGTGCACTATGACATTTTATTCCATCAGATTGGGTTTGATTCAAATCCTTTTACTGTTGTCCTTCCATTTGCAGCAAATATCCTTCTCCTATAGGCTCATAGAGGCACGGCTGTGCGTTCGTTTGATGATCAGACGCCTTCTAAGGAAGTCCTGTCCGCCAATACGGAGGACATACTATATTCGCAGTCCAAAAATACGTGAGCAGAGCGCGACCCGCTTGCAACGAACCACAACCTCATCCACTGGCCATGGCAGCGTACTTTCATTTTTAGAGGCTTCCAGATTGTGCGGTTGTTCCCTTACTATTCCTCTCCATTCTAAATGTAAGAGTGAGGTAGAGAATGAGGAGAAAGAAATGGTTCGCTCAGTGTTCGTGATCAACTGCAAAAATGGTGTCATTTTTTAGCCTTTTCGCGTACTGCATTCACATTTCGTCGTTGAGCTGTGTTCATACTTCGCAACAGCGTCGACCAGCGATCAGCAGCGTCCACCGGCGTCCATTAGCGCTCCGAGCTTCTGGCAGCGTCAGCGACTAGGAATGTATATATATTGCCCAGCAGCGTCCACAATTGTCAACCAGCGACCAGCAGTATCAGCAGTGGCAGCATGGGGCGATAGGAAGGTAGCAGACTGCCGATAGAGAGTATGGGCGATAGGAGAGTAGCAGACAACTGGTAGAGTATGGGAAAATAGGAGGGCA